GTGTAGGGGTGGAGATCCCACCGGAGGCCATGGTGGTTTTAGCCTCCATGTTTTTGGTTGTATGAGAACACTTTTCCCCGGCCTATTCGCCAAACGATTAGTCGTTGATTTCATCGCATCAATCGTTAATGCCTTTTAAAAGAGAATGCTACATGTTTTCAGTGACCTTCGGACTAATGAAATCTCATCCATGCATCTTTCTTCTTACTTGAAACTCTGATATGGAACAAATCAGAACGAAGGTAACGCTCTGATATGAAAAAATTAAAACAGAGGCGTATCGACGAAGACAAGCGAAGGATGATAATGAGAGTGGCAAATATGAGCGAGATGTAGGTTTTATGTGGTTTATTTGTAAATATTAGAGTTTAGGTGTTTAGGGGTATAAATCTTTATTATGTTTTAGGTGATAGTTATGCAAAAAAATTTATTTATATAATAAGTTTGTTCACACGAAAAAAAAGGCCGATTCAACCTTTAACTATAATGTGAATATCAAAAGAGGATAAAAATGCATAAATCATAGATCCTTGTTGGTAATGTGTTCGTGTTCGGCTCGTTTGCTTAAAGAGCTGAACACGAGCTAGAACACGAGCCAATCACGAATCTGACGCCGGGCTATCACGAACAAAGAGTCGTTTTGACAGCCCTAATCACGTAGTCATAGGATGTTAAGAGTTGGGGCAAGATTTAATAATTATTTTTTATATTAAAACAACATTTGAATCTAATTTAATATTTTTTTCTATTTTTTTAAATAATGTTTAAAAAAAATATAATTTCAAGACATATCGTCGTTCCGCTCTGCTAGGGTTCCGCTTTATGGCCAACTATAGCGTCTTTCGGCTTCGGACTTTTCTTGCGCGCTTCGTCTCGCGTCGTCTGCTTCCATTTGCGTCGTCTTGCGTTTGCGTTCGTGTCTCGTCTGTCGGCAGTGTTGCGGCTGTCTTCGTGCTTGTGTCTCGTCTGCGACAGAGTCGCTCGACAGCTTCTGCCTACGTCTTGTCTGTGACAAAGCCGCTCGACACCTTCCTGCTTCTGCTGCATCTCGTCTGCTACAGAGCTGCTCGACCGCTCAACACTTTCCTGCTTCTGTTGCGTCTCCTCTACGACAGAGCCGCCCTGTCTGCTCAGCTTTGCCTCTGTCGTTTGCAACAGCATTGTTCGACACTCGTGTAGCTTCTTGTTGTGCTGCAGGTTGGCACTAGATGCGGTAATGGCATCAGGGCTTTTCTACGCCATCGCCCTCGCCGGTGATAACCCTGTCAAACCCTCCTATGCTACAGTGGTTCACAAACGCAGCTCCCCTTTTCACTTCGGTGATAGTGTGATATTCCCACGGATTTACCATGATTATGTTGCAGGAAATGATAATTGCAATCTTATCAAAAAAGTAGAAAAAAGAGGCGGTTAAACCATCAATTTTCTTTTCTTACGCTAAAATTTCAACTCGTACAGGAAAATACAAATTTACACTAGTTGGAAATTTCCAATTAGGCTGCCCTAAGATGGAGATCATCAGGAAGGTTTTTGAAGATTTCAAACTGTTTGGGGATTGACAGGTGGGTCATTTCGACGGAAGGCATGTTATTCTACAGCTGAGCACAAAAGATGATTACACGAGGATTTTCTTAAAGAAACTCATCACAATTGAGGGCAAACATATGAAATTGCTCAAATGGACCCCCAATTTTGATCCCGGTCAAGAACCCCCAATTGCACCTATATGATTCTCATTACCTGAACTCAAGCTTCATTTCTTTGACCTACTTATCTTATATACAATTGGAACTATCCTTGGAAAATTTTTACAGACAGACTTACCTACAGTTCATTTCTCAAGACCCTTTATTGCAAGGATTTTGATTGAACAAGATATTATACTACTAGATGTAGAAGAAGTCTGGTTTGGATCTACTCACAATGGTTATTTGCAAAAAATCATTATGGAACAAAAACCATACTACTGCAAGCACTGCAAGATGTTTGGAATGTTTGATGTTTGGACACCCGCAGGAGAAATGTTTCAGATTACACCCACAGTTGAGAACCAATAGTCAAAAGCAGGAACACATTATTAGTGCATCCCATGTGCCTGAACTCGCTCCCAGCAAACCTGATGACAACCAATCTGAAGAGGGAATCACCACAAGATAGGAGTTGGTGTCTGCCCCTGAGATCCCTTCTCCTGACCATACTACGACGGATAATGTTCGAACTGAAAATCAGGATAGTTCTGCAGCTCCTATTCAGGAAGCATCAGGTGTAGAGGTAGCAATTCACACTTCGCATACACTGGAACCTATCGTGGTGGCAACGACTATCTTCCCTCCTACTGCGGTGCTAACATCAAATCAAATCGAGGATCACATGAGTCAGTCTTCAGATGAACAATATCAGGTTTACACTTATTGGGGGAAGAAGAAAGATGGGGGCTCACTCCAACTTGGAAACTTAATGGATGATACTTTGGTGACTCCCGGTAATGACACGACACTTTAAAGTTTGTTATCTGATTCCGCTCCTAAAACTAGAGGAAGAGGTAAGACTAAACTCGCTCGTCCCTAGGTACTTGTTTTCTGCATGTTTTAAGTTTGTTTTATATTTTATTGAGTCTATCTGTATCTTTTTGTTGGGGTATTACTATACTTGTATCGTAGGGTAGGGTGCCTCTTTTGGGCTTTTCTCATACAACTTTTATGTATCATTTTCTATTTCAATAAAATCAGCCCTTGGAATTATATATATATATA